TGGAGCCGGAGGACTGGGGGTGGCGCCGGGGCCGGCCCTGCTGAGCCCTGCACCCGGCGCCCGGGATGCTGGAGATCCAGGACCCGGTGGGCGGCCAGAGTGGAGGTCACGAGCGGCACTGGCACCGCCGGAAGGCGCAGCCAGGCCTCGGGGGACTAAAACGCCCGGTTGCCTGCAGAGGGGGGCAGTTTGGGGAAGTGTTTCCTGCCCCGAGAGGAGCCTTTCGCTGTGCCCACGTGGGAAACACTCCTTTTTGGTACTGATCCCATACCTAGTTGTGCCTTACCCTGATGAGAAGACCCAACCCTGGCCCTCATCACTCACACGAGCCATAACGACTGTTCTAATAAACTGTCTACTTAAGTCATTCAGTGGTTTATGTGTCTGCTTGCCAGCCAAGAGCTGGAATGGTAAGACTAGTGTTTAAAATGTTATTTAAATTTAATTAAATGTTATTTTATTTTTTAGATAAATGCTGTGTTTACCACACAGCCTGGCTGTAAGCAAAACATGTTACCAAAGATTATCTATGGAATTTTTCTATCCTGTTTTGTGCTTAATACATTTTTCAAGTATTCTAAAATAAAAGTAAAACGTTGCTTTTTAAAAGTACTTATATAATATTTTGAAACAAAATGAATCATTGACCTGTTAATATACCACAAGGAAACTTCACTTTGAAGTTTGTGTCTCTTAAAATTACCCATCTAAATAAAAAATACCATATCTCAGGGAGCAAGAAATTTGCAAATCACCTATCAGATAAAGGACTTGAATTCAGAACATATAAAGAACTCTTACAACTCAGTAAGACTAATCAACTGAAAAGGACAGAAGATTTGACTAGATATTTTTTAAAAAGCAAATATTTAAATGGCAAAAATAGCATGAAAAGATGCTCATATTAGTCACTAGGAACATGCAAATCAGAACCACAATGAGAAAGCTACTTACACACTACAATGGCTGCAAAAAAAAAGAAGACTGAAAATAAAAAGTTTTGGTGAGGAGGTAAATTAGAACCCTCATACATTGCTGATGGGAATATGAAATGGTACATCCACTTTGGAAAAATTTGTTAGGTTCTTAAAAAGTTATACATAGAAGTACCATATGATCCAACAATTCCACTCCTAAGTACCAGTATATACCCAAAAACATTGAAAATGTGCATAAAACACGTACATATGTATTCATAGCAGCATTATTCATAGTACCTCAAAAGTGGAAACAATCCAAATGACCAGCACCTGGTGAATGGGTAGATAAAATGTGATATATCCAGACAATGGAACGCTATTCAGCAATAAAACAATGAAATAGTAATAGAAGATACAACATAGAGGAACTTCAAAAACATTAAGCTAAGTGAAAGAAGCCCACTGCAGAGGAGCATGTGTTGTATGATTCTATTTATATGGAATGTCTAGAGAAAGCAAGTCTGTACAGACAGTTGATTAGTGGTTGCCTAGGGCTGATGGGAATAGAGAGACTACTGAGAGACACAGAGAGTGATGGGAATACACTACAATTAGATTGTGGTAGTGGTGACAGGACTTAGATTGGCTAACATCATTGAATTGTGTACTTGGAACTAGTGAATTTTATGGTATGTAAATTTTACTTCAAAATATTTGGGGGAGAGGAAGGGTCTGTATGCCATTAAGTAGCCCAGGATAATAGTACCTAATCTAGTTAGAACTAGTTTTTTGCAATAAAAAATTTTAAATCCTTATAAAACAAGTGGAAAATTGTGTGCTGGTAGCACAGTACAAGGTAATAAAATGTACTTTTTGCAACTGGTTGTATAACCAAGCACAATTACTCTTCCACCTCTCACTCAAGTCTATTCATATTTATTCAAAAGTGTATCTTCACTTTACTAAAAGAATTGGAAAGGGGGTAGAAGTGGTAAGCATGTCTGAAAATAGGAAAAGAATTGGATGCCTTACAACGGGGTGGGGGGTTGGGGGTGTAAGGGCTCAGATTGGGAATCCAAAGGAAGGACAATGACATCATCTTTCCCAAAGTTATTCTAGTTTCTGTTGGCCCTGTGCCCTGACCCACCGGCTTCCTCTAGTGCAGGTGTGCTTCAGTGGGAGCACTACCTTTGGGCCGGGTAATGGTATGAGTTATAATTTGTTCTCATGCCTGGATTTTTATGATATCTATGATTTTACCATAGAAGAATTCAAACCCTTGAAGATTAATTATGGAGACACATTGAAGGTGGACTATCCCACAGGAAGTAATCAGCCGGCCCTGACACCTCTTCACGACAGCGCCTGAGAAGCACACACACAGACCTGCTCTTCTGGGTGAGCGATTGACTCCCTTCATTGTTTCTCTCAGGCCCTCTTTAAAATGATGGTTATCTGAGAAATACTAATATTCTTCTACCCTGTGAATAAGAACTAGTTGTTTGTCCCCACTTAGCTAGAAAGCGAGAGAATAGTGCCTTGGCTTGGTTGGTTATAATGGGGGATGTGGGAGATTGCCCAGAGCAGGGTAAACTGCCCAAGAATAATCAACCCACCTAGTAGGCTGGAGGAGGAGAGAAGGGATCTGTTACGCAGAACTGTGGGTCAAACATGCCAACCGGATGAGGAAGAACAGAAGGAGGTGACATTGAAAGAGGGACAGGCAAACACAAACCCACATAGGAGTCAGATGCCATGAAGCAGGTGGTCATCATGCAGAATGCATAGACACTATTATTATATGATTTTTTTACTCCTTGTTTTTGCTTTTGCCAACCTAAGACCTGACAGCCCTGCCTTGTGACAGAAGCCTCAGAAACCTGGGTGCTCTTTCACCTCTCCCAGCTCTCCTGCCCACAACACAACATCATTGTCATGACTACGGCACTGCTCTAACACCCAGCAGCAAGAGAGGCAAATTGAAGGGAGGCAGGCGCTTGGTCCACTCATCCATTGGGTGGTGATCATGGGTAAGGTCAGGCATGGAGGGTATATCAGCATAGGGAGGGCAGTCCTTGGGCTGGGGGCTGAAGGTGGATCAAAAACAGGAAGGTACCTTGCTTGGGATCTAGTGATAAGAGCAGTACATTGTAGGCATTTGTGAGGGGTAGTCAGGTAATGGTCACTAATAGCTGTAGTGCTACACAGGACAGTTATATCTAAAAGCCCCGTGGCCGGTGTGGCTCAGTGGTTGAGCACCTACCTATGAACCAGGAGGTCAGAGTTGATTCCCAGTCAAGGCACATGCCTGGGTTGCAGGCCCGATGCCCAGCGTGAGATGTGCAGAAGGCAGCTGATTGGTGATTCTTTCTCATCATTGATGTTTCTGACTATTTCTCCCTCTCCCTCCTGCCTCTAAAAACATATATTTTTTAAAAAAATATTTTTAAATAAAAGTTTTCTAGGGACCTCTATCCCGACCCTTTGGCTCTAGAAAGCAAGCCTTTCTTGGGGACTTTTTTTCCTTTTTATTTTATTATTTTCTTTTTATTGAGTTATTGGGGGTGACACTGCTTAACAAGTTATACAGGTTCCAGGTGCTTAATACATCATCGTGCACTGTATTGTGTGCTCGCCACCTGGAGATTTTTTTTAAAACACCTGTCTCCGTGGTGCTTCCAGTTGCCAGCTTCTTCAACACTCAGTCCAGGAGGCAGAGAGAAAGCTCAGGGAACGTGTTGCCTTGTCAACCTCAATCCTAAGGTACTTAGTCACTTGCTTTCTTCTCTCCACCTTTCAGAGTCTTCTTATATTTGCTTTATGCGCCATGTCCAGAACTTTTAGCAGTTCTTAAAATTGAAGTATACTCCATCCATGATTCCATCTTGGTCTGGAACCAGAAGCTGGAATAAAGTTTAAGAACAAATTAGGTCAGATTGCAGATTATGTCTTAAAAATGTCCCTCCCTGTTTCTTGCATTCCAGTAGGTTTTCTTGAGACAGAGAAGAAAAGGAAGACCTATTGCAGTTCCTTGGAAATTTCACACATGTACTCTGAACATTTATATGGGCTATAATGTTTACCATATAGAAAAAATGGGTGGGGATGCTGGGAACTGCTAGATCAGAGACACACTGGAGTCTGAAGCAGCAAGAATGGAGTGAAAAAGTTGAGAAAGTGAGAACAGGCTTGAGGCAATGCAGGTGAACTGGCTTTGAACTGATGAGGCTCAGGGTACACAGTTCAGACCATGGCCAATGAATGGAAAAGGTAGTGTGCAGCCGGGTCGTTGTGGCTCAGTGGTTGAGCGTCAACCCATGAACCAGGAGGGCATGGTTTGATTCCTGGGCATGGCACATGCTTGGGTTGCAAGCTCAATCCCCAGTAAGGGGCTTGCAGGAGGGAG